GCAAGCGCTTATTCTAGTGAGCTATCTCCCCAGCCTTCCTCTTCTTATTTGAACATTTTCTTCCTATATCCCAAAATCTATTGTACATTTTGGTCTCTATTCATGCTTTTACTTTCTCACACCAGAGAGATGATGCGATAATTATATATGTGTATCTGATTTCTTTCTTTCTTATTTTTTAATCTGATTTATTTCACTTAAGACATTTACCCAGAAATGTCTCCAGCCTCTCCTTCTTTATAGCAGAGCAGTGCTCCACAGTATAAAGAAACCCCACATCTTCTTTATCCACTCACTTCTTGATGGGCACTTGGATTCTTTCCGAGATTTGGCTGTTGTAAACTGTGCTGCTATCGGTGTGCATGCATTGCTGTGCTGTGATGCTCCGAATTCTTCAGGGAGGATACCTGGGAGAATGGCTGGGACAAATGGAACCCCTAGTCCTAGCTTTTGAGAAACCTCCGCAGTGATTTCCACAGTGGCTGCGTAAATCTACACTCCCACCGACGGAGAACAAGGATGCCTTTTCCCCCACAGCCTTCCAGCATTTGTTATTGGCTGATTTCTTGATGACAGCCGTTCTTTTTTGGGTGAGATGGAATCTCAGTGTTATTTTAATTTGCATCTCTCGAATGACCAGGACACTAAGCATTTTTCCATATATTTATTTGCTGTTTGTATTTCTTCCTCTGAGAAGTGCATATTCATTTCAGATGCTTATTTTTTGATTGGGTCTTTAAATTTGAGAGGTCTGATTTTTTTTTGAGTTGTTTATATATTCTATTTAAAAAAATTTTTTTTTGTGGAACCGGGGATTGAACTCAGACCCTTGAGCTTGCCAGGCAAGTGCTTATTCTATTGAGCCATCTCCCTGGCCCTGTTTATATAGTCTAGATAGTGGTCCTTTGTCTGAGAAAGAGCTGGCAAACATTTTTCTCCCACAGCATGGGTTGTCTCTTCACTCTGTTGGTGGTTTCTCTTGTTGTGCAAAAGCTTTTTAATAAGATGAGACTCCAGTTGAATCTCTGTGATAGCTCCTATGTGCTCAGGGTTTTGTTCGTAAAGTCTTTGCCTATACCAACGTCTTCAAGAGATTTACCTACTCTGTCTTCTGGCATATTTGATGCTTCTGTTTTAATATTTAGATCTTTGATCTATTTTGATTTTAGTTTAGTGCATGGTGAAAGATATGGGTCTAGATTTAACCTTAGGGGCATGAAAAGATAGTTTCCCCAGGACCATCTTTTAAAGAGGCTAGCTTTCCTCCAAGAAGCTGCTTGGCTACTTTGTCAAAGGCAAGGTGGCTGAGTATATTTGGAGTGGCTTCTACATCTTCTTCTTTTTTTTTTTTTTTTAAGAATTTCACGGTATTTGTTGTAATGCATGTTGTAACTTCCAATCAGTTATTCATATTACCAGATATATGCATGTAAAATTAGAAGAAAAAAAGAAAGAAATGTACAAGAAATTAAGAAGAGAAAGAGTACAAACAATTGAAAAAAGGAAATAAAACAAATTAAGCACTATCTACTCCTTTCCATAGACCAGCAGAAATACATAGTCCAAACCATCCTGCTTACGTACATAGACATAGCTCTTTCCCCCACTCCCTCTCCTGTCTGTCTCACCTTAGTAACTCTTTCCTTTTTTTTTTTTTCAACAAATAACTCACTGCATATATTCTTTAGGAGAGGTTTATTTATTTATTTTTTTTAGGAGAGGTTTATTTTTTGTTTTTGGTGCCAAGGACCAAACCCAGGGCTTCCAGCTTGCTAAGCAACCATTCTACCGCTGAGCCAAATCCCCAGCCCCACTG